ATATATAGTGTAATAATAATTATGCAAATCTGTATGTCCAAAAAAAGCATTATATCAACACAAGATAATAATAGGGAGAAATTCATCAAAATAAAGCAGGTTTTAATTTGTTTTCATTTTTTCCATTTTGTTTTATTATATTATTTTATTCTAATAAACATATTTGCTCCTATGACAGTATCACTGTTTTCATATAAAATGTTCCCTTATGAAAAATGTGTCATTTCATTCCCAATGGTTTCAATAGTAAAGTAAGGAGATATTTTTACAGAAATAGCTTCTCCACCTTTCCAGTCAAAATATTAGGGCCTCACAAAGAAGGACCAAGCCACCAGGCCCTCCCTCCACTGTGTGGCCTCTAAGGGAAAGGCAACCAATTTCTGGAAACCTCACAGAGCTGCAATTAGTCCTTGAACCTGTGTCCCTGGAAACATGCCATGCACAACAGACCAAGCAATCTTCCTTGGAAACTGGTACCCAGGGATGACCAAACGTTGCATTTATCATCAGTATGTGAGGGGCCTGGGAATTAAAAGCATGAGACGCAAGGCTGCTTTTCTCTGCTTATGTTCACAGTCGCTCCCCAGGTTCTTTAGATCAATGTTCCATTTGACAAGGACCTGAAGAAAAGTTCCAAACTGATTACCTTTTACCGCAGAATAAAAGAAAATGAATGGAATAACATCCAAACACAACTTTTCTCAAAAACAAACTAACAAACTGATATTACAGGACAGAGATTTTCCAATCAAACGGTTTTCAAATTTAATTTGTGAACAATATGCAGGTTGACAAATTTCTAGACTGATAATATTGGAATAAGGATTTTTGCCAAACAACTCTGGCTCATAGTAGGTATTAGACTCATGACTAGAGGGCTTTAGTTAAGATCAAAGAAAATGGGGATGCTGTGAGAAGAGTATGCATATCTGTATCATTGAGATCTTACCCAGAGTCATGCCCGGATTTATGGAACCAGAAATAGAGAGTTGATGACATCAGGGACCATAAGGTATGTATTTTAGAAATATCGTATTTGGAGAATGATTTTAAATGATCAAGTTAGGAAAACATCATATCTTCGGAATTAATATTAACATGTGGTCCATAGTTTTAATACATCCCAATAAGTCACCTAGCTTGAAAATTCTTTGTCATGTATATTAAGTGTCATGTACACTGGAAACAAAATGATGGTAAACAATGCCCTAAATTGTTTCTCTATCATTGTTTATTCTATCTGTAGCACGTTTTCTCACATTTGCTGAAATTACAGATCAAGAGGAACACAGTGTTAGGAACATGCTCTCTGGAGTCGGTCTATCTTGGTAGAATCATGTCCAAAATTTAATAGCTCTGACTCTGGATTAGTTACTAAAACTGGATACTTTTTCTCATCCAAACAATGTGGCTAATGGTGGGCACTTATGGCATGATGTTCTCAGGTGGACTAAATGCATCACTAAAATGAAGCTTTAATGACAGGGTCAGACTCATTCGAATTATGCCATATGTTAGCTGTTATTATGTCATATCTAAATGTTACTTTATACCCATTTCTATATTTGACTATATAACTAAGATTCTTTTCAGTCGTATTTTCTAAACTTGTCATTATTATCATGTTCTAGCAACACAACACTAAAGTAAATATGTCATTTGTTCATACAGGCACAAGCCTCTCAGAAGTCACTGCTCCTAAGTATCAATGCTGACTTCTCAGCAGTTCAGAGCAGTTACCACTATGGGCAGAAGGAATACCACGCAGGTGACAGACTTCATCCTTCTGGGGCTGACGGATTCCCCGGAGGTCCAGCTGGTCCTCTTCCTGCTGTTCCTGCTGATGTACCTGATCACAGTGCTGGGGAACGCAGGCATGATCCTGGTGATCCGCCTGGACGTTCGGCTTCACACCCCCATGTACTTTTTCCTCAGTCACCTGTCCTTTCTCGACCTCATTTACTCAACTGTCATCACACCTAAAACCTTGGAGAACTTACTGGCTTCCACCAAGTATATTTCCTACATGAGCTGCTTCACCCAGATGTACTTTTTTGTCTTCTTGGTTGCCACAGAATGTATTCTTCTCTCCTCAATGGCCTATGATCGCTACGTAGCCATCTGCAACCCCCTCCACTACCCCGTCGTTATGTCCACAAGGCTCTGCTGCTCCCTTATCGTGGGGTGCTATTTTGTTGGAGTTCTGGATTCCACAGTCAATGTGCTTTGCATGAGCAGCTTGCATTTCTGTGACTCCAATGTAATCCATCACTTTTTCTGTGACACATCCCCGATTTTAGCCCTGTCTTGCACCGACACACATGGGGTTGAAATCATGATATTTATTTTTGCTGGTTCTACTCTAACGGTGTCTCTGATCACAATATCTGCATCCTATGTGTCCATTCTGTCTACCATCCTGAAAATTACTTCCACTTCAGGGAAGCAGAAAGCCTTCTCTACTTGTGCCTCCCATCTCCTAGGAGTCACCATATTTTATGGCACTACAATGTTCACTTACTTAAAACCAAGTAAGTCCTACTCTTTGGGAAAGGATCAAGTAGCTTCTGTGTTTTACACAATCATGATCCCCATGCTGAATCCACTCATTTATAGTCTTAGGAACAAAGAAGTGAAAAATGCTCTTATTAGAATCACGCACAAGAGAGAGGACTCCAGGCAAGTAAAATAACAGTGATGCTAAACTTTTAAGATTTTTTCCTTCCCTTTAGTGTATTACCTTGTTCCCTCTCCAAAAACTATTAAATATTTTAATTTGTTTGTGTTTCTGTTGAATCCTCCTTTACTTGACTAAATATCAATATATCATTAGAAATTCACATTGTGATTGGAATCATGAACTAGTATTAAATCTGTGGTCTATGATACATATTTTTAAGCGCAATTGCACAAAATGAGAAAACATAGTTGTCATTTTTCAAACTATGTCATGCAAGGTGGCTTGCATACTCCAAGTTTAGAGATTTTTACTACAGAAAAAACATGTATTTTGGACACAATGATAAAAACAGTTTCAGAAATTATTTCATTTATGAAATAGAAAAGAAACATAACAGAATCATTACAAGAACTGTCTTTGAAACCAAACATCCCAGGATTTAGATTCTACATCTGCTACCCTTTTAGCTATGTCAGTCATTGAAACATTAATCATCAGTTTGCTCAATGCAAAATAAAAATAATAAATCCACTCCATAGAGTTACTGTAAAGATTATATCAGTTAAAAGATGTAAAACTTTTAAGACAGTACTACTAAATATTGGTCATATCATTAGAAAAAACTTACATTCCTGCAATAAATTTGCAATGCACAATGTTTTTTTCTTAGAGAATATTCCCTGGTGTTTATATGTTATTTTTGGTTAATTTAAGTGACAAATAGCTAAGGACAAACTTAGCACTTTAGCAACTTTGGGTTTAGAAAGGTATATGCTAATCTTGGAGAAAATTTGGAGAATATTGAAGAAATCAAGGAAATAGAAATGCCCTCTATTTCTGTTTTTATTATTTCTCAACAAATAAAATAAGTTATAAACAGTTTTGTATGTGTTCTTCTAGATCTACAATTACGCATTCATTGTATATATTACAATTATAAGCATAGTTAGTCATTTTCTGTATGCTTTTGCATCTTTCTGTATACACTTACTAGCTTAACCTTTGGTAATTATTTGGTCTATGAAACCTGAGATGAATGTGTTCTTAGAACTTGTACAAAATCCAGACTCTCAACTTGCCATGCTTAGGACATGAAATATGTATTCATCAAGTTAAGAATCTGTGTGCAGAGATATCTCTTTGGTGGCTACCTGATAAACAGTTTACAGTCGTATCATTTCTGTCACATGTCAACAAGCTTCAGTAAAATTCCTCTATTATGAATTTTTATGTATTTTTAATAACCATTGTCTTCTGATTTCTATACGTTTGTTATGGTCATTAAAAATAAATTCTTGAATTAAATGTATGACTTATTTGTTTTACAATATTTAACAGAGTCAGGTTGCAAAGCTAAGAAATGACAATGAGTTTAGATTTTGTGGCAGCCCTTGAACTTCAGTCAGCTAGAGTACTAAAATTCCCTTTTCAAAAAAAAGTTTCCTCTATATCATGTGGAGTTGCAGATTAATTTTCTCTGATATTTAAAGGTTATTTAAGAAGGTATTCTTCTATTCATTGTTTGATTTTTCTGTTTCAACTTTTGTAACTAGAAAATTTTCATCTAAATAGTAATATTTATAAATTGTAATTTTTTTGAACTTCACATTGTTTTACTTGTATAACTATATTTTATTATTCTTCCTAAATACTCTTTAAATATTTTGAAAACATGAAAAAGTGCAAAATATCTTTTAGGAATTAAAAGCTAAAAGAATTTTACTAACTCAAAACTGTCAAAAAGTCTCAAATCCCTTAAAAATGAATTTTCATCTATTTCACTTATTTAAAAATTTCCCTTGTCATATGTCAATGTATTTTCTATCATTGTTCATTATATTTATAGCATATTTTCTCACATTTGCTGAAATTAAATGTAAACAAGAATACAGTTTTATGAAAATGCTCTCTGGAGTCGGTGTATCTTGGCAGAACCATGGCCAGCATTTAATAGCTCTGACGCTGGATTAGTTGCTAAAACTGGACATTTTTTCTCATCCAAACATTGTGGCTAATGGTGGCACCTTCGACATAATAGTCTCATGTAGACTAAATACATTACTAAATGGACACATTTACAACAGTGTCAGGCTCATTCTAACTATGCCATAGTTAGCTATTATTATGTCAGATCTAAATGTCAGTTTATACCCATTCTTATATATGGCGATGAAACTAACATTTATTTCAGTTATATTCTCTACACCTCTCATTATCATCACTTCCAAAAACACGACACTAAAGTAAATATGCCATGTTCACACAGTCGCAAGCCTTTCTGAAATCATTGCTGCTAATGAGCTCAAACCAGCTGACCACTATGGGCAGAAGGAATACCACGCAGGTGACAGACTTCATCCTTCTGGGGCTGACGGATTCCCCGGAGGTCCAGCTGGTCCTCTTCCTGCTGTTCCTGCTGATGTACCTGATCACAGTGCTGGGGAACGCAGGCATGTTCCTGGCGATCCGCCTGGACGTTCGGCTTCACACCTCCATGTACTTTTTCCTCAGTCACCTGTCCTTTCTCGACCTCATTTACTCAACTGTCATCACACCTAAAACCTTGGAGAACTTACTGGCTTCCACCAAGTATATTTCCTACATGAGCTGCCTCACCCAGATGTACTTTTTTGTCTTCTTGGTTGCCACAGAATGTATTCTTCTCTCCTCAATGGCCTATGATCGCTACGTAGCCATCTGCAACCCCCTCCACTACCCCGTCGTTATGTCCACAAGGCTCTGCTGCTCCCTTATCGTGGGGTGCTATTTTGTTGGAGTTCTGGATTCCACAGTCAATGTGCTTTGCATGAGCAGCTTGCATTTCTGTGACTCCAATGTAATCCATCACTTTTTCTGTGACACATCCCCGATTTTAGCCCTGTCTTGCACCGACACACATGGGGTTGAAATCATGATATTTATTTTTGCTGGTTCTACTCTAACGGTGTCTCTGATCACAATATCTGCATCCTATATGTCCATTCTGTCTACCATCCTGAAAATTACTTCCACTTCAGGGAAGCAGAAAGCCTTCTCTACTTGTGCCTCCCATCTCCTAGGAGTCACCATATTTT